AAGTGGTATGAGTAGATATGTATATAATGGTCCGCAATGGGCCCCCAGCCACTGTGACAGCTGCTCCTTGTCCCAGTGCCTTCCCACTCGTGAGTCATCCTCTGATCGGCTTGGTGTGGCCGCTGTAGCACACCTGGGATTTCTTGTGTGTGGACAGAATACGTCCCACTGCCCTCTTCCCACTCTCGTCTCTGGCATCTTTTCGTGTTTCCGCACACAAAGCAAGTTCCTCCTTTCACGCGTTAGGGTGCATAGTTGACTCAGCTCTCCCTCAGGAGAAGGTTTGTTTCCAGCTTCCCCTTTTCACAAAGGGCATCTTAGTTGTGCCTCTAGGGAACCCAGGCCCATGACTGTCTGGGTTAAGTGCCCGGCTTGGTCCCGGTCCCAGGCCTGCATCCTTCGTAGAGAGACTGCCTTGGCCATGCTGACTAGCAGGTTGAGAAAGTCAGGGTGTCTGCCGGGGCCTGCACCCCTCACCTTCTCTCCCCTTCCCTCTACTTCCATCCCTGTCTCGTCCTCCAGGTGGGAAACACAAGGTGCGAGGTGACATCAATGTGCTGCTGTGTGGAGACCCGGGCACGGCCAAGTCTCAGTTCCTCAAGTACATAGAGAAGGTGTCCAGCCGGGCCATCTTCACCACGGGCCAGGGCGCCTCGGCAGTTGGGCTCACGGCCTACGTGCAGCGGCATCCGGTCAGCAGGGAGTGGACCCTGGAGGCTGGGGCGCTGGTTCTGGCTGACCGGGGTGTGTGTCTCATCGACGAGTTCGACAAGGTGGGGTCCTGGGCCGGTTGGGCTGGTGGGAGTCGGGGTGGGGACTCGGACTTGGTGGTGGCAGAATTGAGAAAGTCCAGGTCCAGCGCATGTTGAGGGCCAGACCTCTGTGTCTCACAGATGAACGACCAGGACAGGACTAGCATCCACGAGGCCATGGAGCAGCAGAGCATCTCCATCTCCAAGGCTGGCATCGTCACCTCCCTGCAGGCCCGCTGCACCGTCATTGCAGCCGCCAACCCCATAGGTATGCCAGGTGGGGCCCGTAAGGTCCAGACTCCAGTGCTGAGGGCCACAGGACTCGGGGTACCTGGCTTGGTTTGGGGGTCCGGTTTGAACCACTTCTCTTGGGTGTTCACAGGCCCCTCAGGAGAAATCCAGTCCCCTGCCTGAGCTGGGCAGGGCGGGAAGTAACAGCCCAGCGCCTTCTCCACACCATGGGTCCTCCCCAAGGAGCTGCCTTCTGTCCAGTCAGGCCCTTTAGGGTCGCTCCAGGAGGCAGGCACTGTCTCTGTCCTGATCCACTGACAGCAGACCCTGGGGTCCCTGCCGGCCTCCCCAGCCACGATGCCTTTCCTTCCTCCCCCAGGGGCCAGCCTTGGGGAACGCGTTCAGGGTTGAGCAGGACAGAGCCTGGGGACACTGACCTGACAGAGGCTCCTTTGTGTTTCAGGGGGACGCTACGACCCTTCGCTGACCTTCTCAGAGAACGTGGACCTCACGGAGCCCATCATTTCCCGCTTCGACATCCTGTGTGTGGTGAGGGACACTGTGGACCCTGTGCAGGTACAGCCCTCGGAGCCATCCCGTGCTCGTTGTGGGCACAGGTGGCCCTTGTGCAGTCTTGTCCCCTTGCTCTCTTCCCTCCAATGTGCTCCTCCCTTCTGTTTCCTCACCCATCCCCTCCCCGGCTGCCCACTGGTCCTTCTGGTCCTGCCCCTGCATTCTCCACCCCCAGTCCGGCTTCTCTCCCTCTCACCTGGGTGCCTCCATAGAGCCAGTGTGATGATGCAGTCTTGGGGCACTGTGTACAGCTCCCTCTGCTGCCTGTCCTAGGATGAGATGCTGGCCCGCTTTGTGGTTGGCAGCCATGTGCGACACCACCCCAGCAACAAGGACGAGGAGGGATTGGCTGGCAGTGCCCAGGAGCCTGCTATGCCCAACACGTACAACGTGGAGCCACTGCCACAGGAGGTGCTGAAGAAGTACATCATCTATGCCAAGGAGAGGGTCCACCCAAAGCTCAACCAGATGGACCAGGACAAGGTGGCCAAGATGTACAGTGACCTGCGGAAGGAGTCCATGGTGAGGGCCTGGGCAGCCTGGGCAGGCTTGAGGGGTCAGTCCCCAAAGCACTAGGAGACTTCCGGGTTGAGGGGGTGGCTCAGCAGTAGAGCACTTATCTACCTTACACTAGGCTGGGGTTCCATCCTCAGCACCACTGAGAAAAGATAACTTCTGTACTACAAGCATTTTGTCACAGATGGAACTTTACGTGCATTCATCCCATCTTGTCATCCTCAGATGAAGTTCCTTAGTGACTTCATAAACTCTCAGCCAGATGAACTCTGGGTCTGAACTCTTTGGTTCATCACAGTGGGACAGGGCCTCCCAGCAGCCCTCGGGCAGTCGGCACCCAGAGTCCTCGTAGAAGCCTCTGTCACCCACTCCAGATCATGACATCGAATGTTTTGTTTTCGTTTGTGCCTTTTAACTGTACCAGAGCATTCACCTTAGTGTTCATAGAAATAACACTGTTTTCTTATTTATGTTGCTGTGGATTCTGCAACTATGATTTGTGACAGTAACCAGCAGAGCTGGCTGTAAGTACAGCAGACCTTGAGCTGCAAGCCAGCTGGGTGTCCTGGTGACACTGACACTGCAGGTGTCCTGGGGACACATTGTAGTCCTCAGCCTCCCCAGGCT